TGTGTGTGTGTGTGTGTGTGTGTGTGTGTGTGTGTGTGTGTGTGTGTGTGTGTGTGAGTAATCTTAGCTTTAAGGGGGAAAGTGTTAATGTCATTATCACGAGGGTATGGATTACTATAAGAAGATCCGTCCGTATTATGTATAATATATATAAATAAATAAATATATATATATTATATAAATAAATAAATATATATATATAAATATATATATATATAATATACGTCAAATAAATATATATATATTACAAGGTGTCTTGGTATCTGCTGGCTATGCTGTATTTATTCAGCGTTGGTGTAGGCAGCTAGTTGCTTCACATTCTGATCTGTGATAACGACGAACCTGTGATGATGATTAACTCTGCTATGCATTTAATAGCTTCTGTAAAATGAAAATATAATGTAAAAATAATACCGTGCAGCAATTATATTTATTATAATATTTGATAGAGTTGACAACAACTAATGCTTTTACATTACACTGTATATAAACATACGGTATAGGGTTGTTTACACGTGTGCACTCTTGTCTGTCACAGTATTTCACACGATTAACTCTATATGCTACGGGAGCAGCGTGAACAATGCATCATTCATTATCAAGAGTCCATGATATAGAGATTTTCTTGTTAATGACTCTTGTTATTATTCAAAGAATCGTCCAAATTACCAAAAATTAATGCAACCATTTTGTTAATATCAGAAACCGCATTGAATTCAACCTGCAAATTAGAAAATTAATTAAGCTATTGCTTTTTATTTCAGGGAACATTTGCGTTAGGTCGTCTGATCTCCATCCCCATAGCAACGAAATTATCTCCCGGATTTATGCTCATATGCAACATAGTAAGTCTATGTTTGTTCGTCATGCTTACAACACTTAATGAAGACAGGGGTTCTTAACCTGTGGTCTATGAACTCCTTTGGGGTCCGTGGATGTGCTTCAGGGGGTCCGTGGATGTGCTTCAGGGGGTCCGTGGATGGGCTTCAGTGGGTCCGTGGATGGGCTTCAGGGGGTCCGTGGATGTGCTTCAGGGAGTCCGTGGATGGGCTTCAGGGGGTCCGTAGATGGGCTTCAGGGGGTCCGTGGATGTGCTTCAGGGAGTCCGTGGATGGGCTTCAGGGGGTCCGTAGATGGGCTTCAGGGGGTCCGTGGATGTGCTTCAGGGAGTCCGTGGATGGGCTTCAGGGGGTCCATGGAACCAAGTGTTTATGTGCTTATGTGCATTTTCCTGGGAGGGGTGCAGTAGCTTTTAGCCGATTTCAAAGGGCGTCCATTACTTCAAAAAGAAGGTAAGAACACTGACTTAAGAGAGTGCTTACAGTCCAGTAATGAAGGTGCACTTAGCCGGCCGTGTATGGTATTAAACCTACTACGCGGATCATGCTACAATATGACCAACTGAGGCTGCTGCTGCTGGCTGCTGCCTGCTACTGCTGCTGCTGCTGCTAGCCTACTGCTGCTGCTGCTGCTACTAGCTGCGCTGTGCTTGACTACTGCTGCTGCTGCTAGCTGTCTACTGCTCTGCTGCTTGGCTGCTGGGCTACATTACCGAACTGACTCAGCTACTGCACTCTGCTGCTCGCTCTGCTCTGCTGCTACTAATCTACTGCTGCGCTGCGGCTGCTGCTGCCTGCTAGCTACTGCTGCTGCGCTGCTGGCTGGCTGCTGGCGAGTAGCTGTGACGATGTGATAGATGGATGTGTGAACACACGATGACTTATCGACAACATGACATCGTCAAATACACATATACTGTCGGGCAGAAGCACACGGCGTGATACACAGGAGTAGGTGTTGCAGGTATATAACGTACTTGGTATATATTATATATATATATATATATATGTCAAGAGTACATAATAGAAATGAATTTTATATTATGGACTCTTGAAGATATATATAATATATATATTATATATATATATATTACGTGCGACTGATACGAAAACAAATTACCATATAACTATGACATCACTGCCCCCACCCCTTGCCTCTCATTTTTATTTGCCGCTGCGCCATCTATAGTTCGGCTGCTTCATGGCGATGATACTGATGTTGGCGATGAGGCACGACCACTCGATGCTCTACGTCGGCACATGCGGCTTCGGTCTGTTCCTGAGTAGCGTCTACCCGACAGCCATCTCGCTCGTCGAACAGTACGTGCACGTGACGTCATCGATGGCCAGCGCCATCGTCGTCGGCGCTGCTACGGGAGAGATGATCTTTCCCGTCATCGTAGGACACGTGAGTAGAGAGGGTAGTGCGCATGCGCACACGCGGATTGCTTGTTCTTCTAGCGGGTTTTAACTAACAGCGTATAGTATACTGTAGAGTGTAGACTATATTATGTTAGCGTGTGTAGACGCTGAGGGTGAGAGTAAAAGCACGTACACGTACATACATTGTAGTTAATACGTTTGTAATGCGTTAAAATATCCTATACAATATGTATAATAAATAAATACATATGTATGTATGTATGTATCTATATATATATATATATAAGTATTATATGATATAACCCACGCACCACGCGCACAACACACCACACACAGCAACACACACACCACACACACATACACCCACAACAACACACACCACACACACACACGCACACACACACGATACACACACACATCACACACACACAACACCACACACACACACACACACCACACACACCACACACAACACCACACCACGACCACAAACACCACACACACAACACCACATCATATAATGTGGAATCCTGGGTTGCGGAGCAGCAAAATTTATTTCAGAAGAAGTACAGAATAGGAAATGCTATTTGAATAACCCAGCACTAGAGCAATGAGTTTTAACAGGAGCACATAATTAGATTCGTGTATAAGAGTGCCACGAAATCTATATATATAATTGTATAATGCTAGTTGAACAAACGCATCGTACGGAAATATAACGTAAAATAACCGTAACGTGTGAGACTATCATGAATTAGCAAGGCATATGCTATCATATACAGTAACCATGAGTGTACAAGGAAAACATTTCACGGACTTAATAGTAAGTTGCTTAGCAGATTATGGGGTATAGGAAAATAAGAAACGCTCATTCAATGAATACACTGTAGTACATTGATTTTTTTGATAGAATGTTCACACATAATTATCATGTCTGAATATTACTATAACAAAAGACGATAATTGTTCAATTCTCAGTAAAGAGAAATGCGTAATAACGTAGTCACGCAATACGTGATAACGTAGATAGATAATTACGTGTAGGCATCTAGTAATAATTAATGAAACTCTTGTAATGCCGACATTAGTGCGGACATTACCCCCCCCCCCCAATGTATGCGTGTACATGCGTGCGTACGCGGTGGCGTATGCACGTCAATGCGTGCGTACGCCGCGTGTACGAGCGTGCTATGCGTGGCGTAAGCGCCGTGTATCGCGTGCTATGCGTCTGCGACGCGCGTGTAAGCGTGCGTGACACGCCGGGGCGGGTTTGGGATAGTATGCGTGTGTATGCGTGCGTACGCGCGTGTATGCGTGTGTATGCGTGCTTACGCGCGTGTATGCGTGCATGCGTGAGTCCGTGTGTGCGTGTGTGGGTCTGTGCGTACAGATAAAATTACATATTCAGCACTGTTCCTATTGCTTACCCCCGATAAATACATACCATTATTTTTTCTATCCCCAAAAGGATCTGCATAATATTTTAACATGTATATATTTAACATATCTTTGACATAACATTTTGATTATTTAACATATATTTAACATTGTATTCGTGCATAGATGTTCGTCAACGTTGGCCCCGTGGCACTGCTACTGGCTGGCAACCTCACCTGCTTTCTCTCCGTGTTCGTCTTCATTGCAATGTGGCTGACGGGACAGATAGCATTCCGTCATAAAGGCAAGTGCGATCGTAACATGACGTACGTGCACGCGCGCACGCACACGCGCACACGCACGCACGCACGCATGCACATATGAACAGACACATAAACACACAAAAACTCACACACACACACACGCACGCACACACACACACACACACACACACACACACACACACACACACACACACAGATTGATCGTAACATAGCGTACATGCACGCACGCACGCCCGCCCGTGCTCGCACGCACACGCACGCATGCACACATGCATAAACGGACACATAAACACACAAAGTATTGCTCTTTTAGCTCATTCTTTTTCCTTCTCTCTCTCTCTCTCTCGTTCGCTTTCTTTTCTCTTTTCCGCCTACAGCATCCTCGTAACTATGGTTACCTACTTTCCGCAGCTGCACGCTCGGGGCTCGGCTTCATCGCCGACGTGTGCTGCCCTCAGGTGGCCGACGAGGATGGACTCGTGCAGACGCGCGTCAAATACTACTCGCGCATGTCCGAGAGCAGTCTCGATCAGAGCGTCGACATGCCCGACTCTCCGCTGAAAGACGAGGCCCTGAACGAGCACAACGACCCGCCGCCGATCGCAACCGACACGCGCCCGGTCGGCAACTAACTATAGAGAGAACTCGGTGAACAGCGCTCGCTGCATGACCAAGGCCCGGTTTTGTTTAAGTTTAAATTTATTATTTTAATTGTTTTTTCTATTATGTTGAATTGTTTTAATTAAATTAAATTATTTTATTGTTTAATTTTATATATAACAGGGTAAGGTGGTAATGGCGTACGAACTCTCATCGTAGAAGGCCAGGGGTGACGACTGCATAGAATGGGGACGAGAGCCGACAGGCACCGGGGGAAGGCACATGAGAAAATGCACCTCAGCCGCAGGATACGAGAATAGAGCGGTATTGGAGGTCGAATAGAATCTGACCGACGTAACCTTACTATTATACTGTACATATTGAATCTCGTTGTTGTGTTTGTGATGGACTATATAATGAAAATGCCACGCACACCAGCCCACGTGTATCCGTCCCATGGCGCTGCAATAGTAAGCACGCCTCACACTTCGCACGACAAGTACCTTCCTGTTTCGGCTGACATCGTCTAACCATCGCACATTGCGATGACGATGCCTATAGCTTATCGCGCGCCAAAGCACGTCCATATCAGAACACACGCACTCACGCACGCACCAGTCAAAGGGCCGCTATGCCACATTTACTGAACGTCGATTGATTCGAGTTATAGCATATTGTTAATTGTTTCAGCTCAGTAGAGCCCGCGATGAAAGCGTTCTCGGCGTCGTATGCGACCTATGTGTACACGAAGAAGCGCTGCTATCATTTGACAAGAGCGTATAAGAAGGATATAAGAGATGAAAGCCCTTAATTCTTTAACTACGACTCTTGTAGCATCAAATGTATCAATGAACGTTACTGTTGATCTTTAATCGTTGTATTACTCGTTGTGTAACGGGCGAGTTGGCGCTGCGCACCAGATACGTCGGGCCTCTATCCACAATATTAATTGCCCGGCACATTTTCATTACCTGGTTCGGTAGAACCGATACCCTCACGCAGTTGCGTGTGTCGTATGTGTGTGTGTGTGTCGTGTGGTGCTGTGTGTGTGTGTGTGGTGTGTGTCGTGTTGTGCGTGGGTTGTTGTGCGTGCTGCGTGTGGCGTGCCGTCGCGCCGTCGTGCGTTCGGTGTTTATGTATATGAAGGTTAGATCGTCCTGAAGTGATGCGTTCGTGTTTATGTATAGAAGGTTAGACGTCGTAGTGAGTTTATAGCAAGCTCTTCTACCTTGTGTTAATAATTTGCAAAGGAATTACGAATCACTTCCGCCAAATAGGTTGTCATTAGTTTAGTTTGCTTTTATGTATGTTAGAAGCGTTTCGTGTAAAACCACCATATTAAGGCACTTCGCTACTGCTTCTGTGATTCAGTTTATGAAAGTGAAATAAAGAGACGTTGTGAAGCATACTCCGTGCGTTCGCTGTTTGATTGTAGCGAGCTATACGCGGGTGCATATGCACCTGTTAGCACATGCGACTCTAGATATATACAACAGTAATTCATGTATGATAGTATAATGGGCTATAATGAGTGAGTGAGTGAGTGAGTGAGTGAGTGAGTGAGTGAGTGAGTGAGTGAGCGAGTGAGTGGACGAGTAAGTGGGCGAGTGAGTGTGTGAGTGAGTGAGTGAGTGAGCGAGTGAGTGAGTGAGTAATAATAATAATAGTAATATAAGTCGTATATATAGTCTACTCAGTACTAGTAGTGTAGCAAGGAACATCCTTCCGGGTTCATTCTGTTCATACCTCTTATTATGAGACAATACACTGATTTAATACCTTCCTTACATATTAGTTATCTTTGTTAATAATAAATCATTTATCTTAAATTTTGTTCGAAATTTTTAATCACATCACAGTGAGTATTCATTTGTGAATACAGCGCTGGTTAAAAACAGAATCACTACACGGACGTTTCTTCTTTCTTCTGTAACTCGTAGAGAGAAAAAAAACCTCGAGATTTGCTAAAGCTATTATAATGATATATATTTTATTAAAAGAATGTAACACACACCTGGTCATTGCACTAAAATATTTTGATTAATATAAACTTTAACGTTCTATAATTACAACGTATCTGCATGACGGGCGTCGTCAAAAGCAGCTCCCGACGATCACGTGATAATAACGATTTCGAGCAACCAACGGCGATTTCCTCTCCGTTAAATTTTCTCCTGATCGTCAACTAACAAACCATTTTCAATATTAGTACGGGGTCACGCGAGATCCATCCAGTCACTAGCGAACGCTATAATCGATAATGATGATAGATAATTTTTTCTCTCGTATGAAAACAGCAGCAACACGTGATTAATAATTATTCCTCACGTTTCACGGGCATCGCTATAGCAACATTGTTTCTAACACAGGCTTGTCGGTTGAGTGACGTCATTGCCCGGTCGTCATGCACATTCCCCGGTGTATGCATGAACACGGAGCGCCTCGGTGCGCCATCCACGCGTGCTCGATCCGTGCATGCTTCAACACACCCTGCGCGGATGCGACACCGCCACGCTGGAATCGTGTTCGTATTTCTTCTCACTACATTTAGGCGCATTCCTTGTCCAGACACAGATCCACCGATCTAAATACGATATAAGTGAGCTTTCGTTTTGCACGACGGATCGTTCTACGACGGATAAAAACCTGTGACCATACCGTCGGGCGTGCTGAGCGTCCGTCCTGCGGTAACTCGTTTCGATTTTCACGACAGCGACAAATTGGCCAATTTGATCACGTGACCTTTTGTTTTGATCGCGCGTATTTTAAAAATGGCGAATCTTCACCGGTTATGTCATTGTTACGTTTTGAATCTTAAACATGTCAGTAACACTAACTGTAGATGTAATACTATAGACCTTTAGTATTATCTTAGTAAAAGACCATCATTAATTCACGCCTGATTATGATTTGATTTCAACATGGGCTGTCACCACCAAATAGTGGAAACTTACGGAATGCATACTCTCTCTCATCATCGTGTCGCTTGCTTCAAAAGTTTGTGTCATCAAGTCATACAAATATACAATACATCAAAATGGCAAAGTATCCGTCAAAGTATGTCAAAGTGTCCGTCGATGACCATGCGCATACAACGCATCACAGGCACTCTAATAGTCCTCCCCTCCCGGAACAGAACCGTCGTAGAATCCTGTGGACGGGATGGTACAGGCAAGATCAAGCATGCGCCAGACTCTCTCATCCCCTCCATGTACGAACCCCGTCCTGGCAAAAACGGGAAGTCATATTTCAAACAGTACAACCAGCTGACTACATGCCCGATTACCCACGCGCGAAGTGTGTGTATCTATATGCCGCACCGTCATCTCACCACGCTCTCTAGCAACGACAACACATCACACGATGGCCCCGCACGCACGCACGCATCGCTAGACAGCGACATTGCCCGCACGCACGCACACACAACATGCTCACACTCTACGCCCACGCAAGTCACACACACTACGCCCCTGCGCGGCTCACACACACACACGACACACACACACACACACACACACATACACCACAGCATCACACATATTATTTAAAAACCTCACCGTATTATATAGTGTGCGCCGCGGCTGGGTGCCCCGATACGCGCCGGCGGAGCGACGGCCCGTCGGAACTACGGCCAGTAATGGTCTAGCCCGGTGGATCTGCGCGTCTTGAGCGCAACGTCTATGTCCGTTTGCAATTAGGCCTGCCCAGCGAACTGAGCTCGTAAGGGTCTAGCAAACAATAACAGCCTGTCTCTTTAACGTGTCACTGTGTGCGTATACATGTGTGCGTGCGTGCGCGTGTGTGCGTGCGCGTGTGCGTGACAAACAGAGATTAATATATATATAACCGTAATATTTATGCACGAAATTCTCATCAAACCGATTCGTGTCAAACCAAAATATGCCTTACGCTCATTCCCCCCTCCTCCCACTAAATTATCAACCAGTTTCCCTCTACGCCTGTTTCTGTCAATTTCGAAACCCCTATATATCGCTCTCGATGCTAACTCGATGTAATTACTATACGTTACGCAGCGATTTCGCCGAGAGATGCGCGCCATCGGTCGTAGCTGTCTGATCCGCTAGCGTTTGTGTCGAGTGTTGTTAATATTATCAGGAGTAGATGATCTTCATCTACTCCTGATATTATCAGTCGACGAACACACAGCCATGAGATTCAGCACAGCGACTGACTTCGGCGATCATTCGTTACAGCTGCTATCACATCGTGCTAGTCGTAGACTCGATATTATCGAGTACTGATCACAGATCAATATTATCAGTACTGATCGCAGACCGATATCGACCGCCCAGTGGTCGGTAAACACACGTGCAGTCACGGCTGGCCACATATTTGCATTTTGATTTATGAGAGGATTATTTTTTTGATTGCTCGCGATTGTCAACGTGCCCGATAGCGGGCGCCATTTTGCGCTCATATATATATCACTATATATAATATATATGTATATAGTGATTATATATATATATATATATATATATATATATATATTATAGTCACTCCATATTATAGCATCAGAGTTAATGAGACACAAGTTTGTCTCATTAACTACTGTATATATATATATATCATATTACCGCGCTCGTACTAAAGACATCGTCCATTCCCCTCTCGGACAGGCGTGCAAATCAACTTGTACCTTTGGCACAAACATGCTTGGCAGGCAAAAAACGGTCTCGTCGTATATGTAAGCGCGTGTTAGCGTGCGGTGCGCGTGCGCGTGGCGCTGTAGGACGTGTGTTGTTGTGTGTGTGGTGTGTGTGTTGTGTGTGTGTTGTGCGCGTGTGTGTGTGTGTGTGTGTGTGTGAGAGAGAGTGGTGTGAGGTGTTTCTATGCGCGGTGCGCATGCGTGCGTGTTGTGTTGTGTGTGTGTGTGGTGTGATGTCGTGTGCTCGGTGTGGGTGTTGTGTGAGAGTTGTCGTGAGAGTGTGTGTGTTTTTCTATGCCCGTGCGCATGCGTGCTTGTGTGTGTGTGATGTGTGTGTGTGTGTGTGTGCTGTGTGTGTGTGTGTGTGATGTGTCTGTGTGTGAGTGCGTGTGTACGCGTGCGTG